CCCGCGCCCGGTCAGCCCGATCCCAGGGCGTCCCGCTCGCCTGGACGCGGTAGCCGTCCGAGTGGGAGGCCCCCACGCACTCGCTGTGGCCTTTCTCTGCAAGCTGGCTACTCCGGCTAAGGGGCCGGTTTGTGAGATTTAGACGAGGATTCGCTTGTAGCCGGGGACGGTCGTTTTCGTGGCTAAGTGGAATCCCGCTGTAGGCCTACAGACGGTTCTTTTATTCCTCTTCCTTCAGTCTGCTCTGTTCAACCTCCTCCTCTCTGATTTCCAGGAGGGTGCCTGAATGATCTCCGTGTCCCCACCCCCGTGGACTCTTGTAATTGCACCCACCTTCTCAACCTCGCCACACACACCCGCTGCTTGCCTTGCTGCTTAACTTGAACAACGTTGCCCTTTCCCAGCCTTTATCTCGCCTCCCTGCTGCCCAGCCTCCACACGCTGGGGTGCCCAGGGCCCAGCCAGCGCTGCTCTCTCTCCTGCCTTCGTTCACCGTTAGCCAGCCATCCCTACAGTGTTACTGGCTCAGCTCTGCCCGCCCAGGCCTCTCCCCTGACCTCCAGCTGCCTCCGCAGCCTTTTTGGATGTCTATGGAGTCTCTCAGACCCAACATATCCTAACCATGGTGCTTTCCTGCACACCGCCTGCCCTGGAAACCCTGTTTTGTCCACCTTCACCATCTCAATTCACTTTACTGCCATGGTGCCACTGGTCCAAAAATAAGGGTGTCATTCTTGAGTCTTTTAAGTTTTATCCCATTTCACATCTTTCATTGGGTCTGGTGGTTCCACTTCCAAAGCATGGCTGGAACTGGCCCCAGCCACCACATCAATTTCCTGCCTGGGCACGGGCCTCCTGCGTCCACTCTGGTCAGCCCACCGCCCAACCAGAGCCCCCAAAACTTGTCTTCAGCCCTCTAGCAGTTCCTACTGGCTGCTCTAGGGTGAACCCAGACTCTTCGTCCTGGTCTGTGAGAGCTGTGCTCTTTGATCCCCTGCCTGTCTGTCCCATCTCCTGGGACGCCTCTCACTCAGGAAGCCCCCTACCCCACCCTGCTTCTGTGTCTCTAAGTGCATTCCTCTTGTTCTGTGTCCTTTTCCTCTGCCCAAATGCTCTTCCCCTAGTCATCTCTCTGATGGCTGCAGCCTCTTCCTCTTCCTCCTGGTCACCTGCTCTAGGGCAGCCCCCACCCTACACCAGTACCCCCCCCCCACGCCCCACCAATGTGCTACTCTCCTGAGGTGCTCACCTGCACCTGCTTCCTTCTGGCAGCCTTCAGGGCGGGGCTAGTGTTCCCACCACGGTGCACAGCACCTTGTGTGTTCATTGCTGTTTTTCATCTTGTTTCTGCCGAGGGTGCGAAGGCTCTTCATGAGGCCCAGTGCTCAGGGATGTTAGGGGTCACCTTTGAGTCAGCACTTGCTCTGCTCCCCAGGTCTCTGCTGTGGCCACCTGAGCCTGCAGGATGTTTCACGGGATCCCAGCCACTCCTGGCATGGGAGGTGAGTGTGGCCCAAGCTGGGCCCAGGGACCCAAAGGGCCCAGGCTTTCAGCCTTTGCTGCAGAAGCTGAGGGGAGCAGCGGCAGGGGGAATGTGGGCGGTCTGTTTAAGTGTCCGCCCCCATAAGGCCTCAGAGTGGCCAGGGGCCCAGAGACCTCCTCCAGGTGGGACCAGCTGGGCACAGAGATGACAGCTTTAGTGTGGCTGGAACTTCAGGGGGTCTTGGGTATCCTGGAGTCACCAAACCAGGGGAAAGATTATGAAGCATGTGACAAACATTTCTGGTCCGTCACTGCATCATAAGCGAGGTATGTGTGGTCACTCAGCTGTAAAGTGGGGTAGCCAAGAAGCAGAGGTATAATGGAGGGCCAGGCCTGGCATGTGGCACACTGGACCCAGAGGCATTTCCTCTGCTTAGGTACCCCCACAAACTGATGGGGGCACTGAGACTGAAATTCCTCTGGCTCCCCCTGAGCCCTTTGGGACATAGCACTGGGGAAGCCTTGAGAGTGTTGCTGAAATGGGGCTGAGGCCAGGGGTCGCCATCATGAGCAGACTGCCAGCTGTCTGCCTGTTCTATTGCAGCCCCTGGAAACAAGCCGGAGCTATATGAGGTCAGTGGTGGACACCTGCCTGGCACCATTGGTCCCTTTGAGCCTCACCAGGTACTGTAGGCACCCTAGTGCTGCCGGTTGACCCTCTGCTCCATCTCCCCAATAGGAAGTGAAGCTGTACAAGAATGCCCGTGAGCGAGAGAAGTGAGTCCGGCACCCAGGCTGCCTGCTTCCCCCCACAGCACCCTCCTCCCACTGAGGGTTAGGAGGACATAGGGTCAGCCTGGGCAAACAAACAGTTTTCAAGTAGCCTTTGCCAGGGGCGGGGTGAGAGGTGACCAAACACCAAGCTCTGCTTCCATTTCTCCCACCCTGGGTGGGGCCAGTGCCCTGGATGGGGCCCTGGGCTTGGGACCCCGGCTTCCCTGCTTTGGCAGCCACACCTAAAGGATGCACCCTCAGGTATGACAACATGGCCGAGCTGTTTGCCGTTGTGAAGACGATGCAGGCCCTGGAGAAAGCGTACATCAAGGACTGCGTCACCCCCAACGAGTGAGAGCCCGCCTTCCCTGCACCACCAGTGGGCACCTGTCCTTGAAAGCTTGTGTTTGTCCTCCAGGGGCTGGGTGCTCAATGCGGAGGAAGAGCAGGGGCCCAGCCTGAGGCCTGTGTCTGAGGCCCAGCCAGCACAAGGAGGGTCCCCCGGGTGCTAGGGCCTTGGCGCCATCTCAGCCAGAGAAGTCCTGGCAGCAGTACTAAAATGTTCTAGGGGAGAGGTGAGCCCACCACCCTGGTCCTGGGGTTCCGTCCCACCCCTCCTCCCCCAGGCCTCATCAGTGCACAGGCTTAGAAGGCAAGCAGGAGGGCTCAGAGGTCAGTCTGTGAGGTGCTGCTGGCCAGGCCTGGCCGCCAGGAGATCCCCGGGGCCTTGGTTCAGTGCAGCAGGCCCAGCCCAGAGGACCCCGAGCTGCTAATGTGGGGGTGTGGCCAGCACGGTCCAGGAGAGCAGGCTTGAGGGGGCAGGCTGAGCCTCTGCCGAGCGCGGGCTTGGGGCCAGTCTGCACAGGGCTGGTCCTGTGTGGCAGCCGTATTTTGGCCACTGTCTCCCTCCCCTCCCAGAGTTCTTTTCTTGTATAAACCAGTGGGAAGGCTCAACTGTCAATGGCACACCTCTGGGCCTCCACCAGCCCTCCCTGGAAGAGCCAAGGGTAAGCAGGACGTGCCGGGTATAGCTGGCCCGGTGCTGAGGGCGGGAGTGTAACCCTCTCCCTAGGTACACGGCGGCCTGCTCCCGGCTCCTGGTCCAGTACAAAGCTGCCTTCCGGCAGGTTCAGGGCTCAGAGATCAGTTCCATTGATGAGTTCTGTCGCAAGTTCCGCGTGAGTTAGTGGCCCCTCCACCCTGAGGGGCGGTGGGAGGTGTGGGCGCTGGGTGGCTGGGCCTGGCTGCCCTGCAGGGCCCAGCACCGGGTGCTCTCCCTCAGCTGGACTGCCCGCTTGCCATGGAGAGGATCAGGGAGGACCGGCCCATCACCATCAAGGACGACAAGGGCAACCTCAACCGCTGCATCGCCGACGTCGTCTCGGTGGGCCTCGCCAGGGCTGTGGCTCCCTGGGGCCCCTCCCTATACTGAACCACAGGGGGCGGGCCCAAGCTCCCACGCCCCAGCAGGGCTGCGTGGCCTTGAGGCCTGGGGCCAAGTGGTGCAGGAGGAGGCCCGAGGCTGAGGAGGGCCAGGGGCTGGGTGGGGCTGACCCTGGTGGCCCTGCAGAGGAACCAGGCTTGTGGCTGCAAGAGGTCTCCCTCTCTTGGCCCCTGGTGGGGCCTGTGTCACCTCACACACGCTTGTCCCCAGCTCTTCATCACGGTGATGGACAAGCTGCGCCTGGAGATCCGCGCCATGGACGAGGTGCGGCTTCTGGGGGGTGAGGGGGGCCGGAGGAGGGAGAGGGGGTCCCAGCGGCACTGTCCCCACAGATCCAGCCTGACCTGCGGGAGCTGATGGAGACCATGCATCGCATGAGCCACCTGCCCCCTGACTTTGAGGGCCGCCAGACGGTCAACCAGTGGTGAGTGTGTGTCTCCTGCCCAGCTGCCCTGCCCCAACCCGCGCGCCCCCTGCGTCCCCCAGCGCTGTGCTCCCGCAGGCTGCAGACCCTGAGCGGCATGTCCGCGTCCGACGAGCTGGACGACTCCCAGGTGCGCCAGATGCTCTTTGACCTGGAGTCAGCCTACAACGCTTTCAACCGCTTCCTGCACGCCTGAGCCTGCGCCTCCCTGCGCCGAGAAGGTTCCGGCATCCCCCGGACGTCTGCAATGTCTCTCTGTCCACAGCAGCCCCGTCAAGTGTGTCTGTCCGTGGTCTCTAACCTGGAGCCCCGTCCCCACAATAAAGATGCTTTCTGACTTCCCTGCGGGTGTGGGCGGCTCTCCCCCAAGGTCCGCCTTGCGTGGCTGTCTGCCCTGGGGGCCCCGGGACCCTGCCGGCCTGGAGTGCGTAGGTTCTGCGCAGTAGTTTAGGGGCAGCAGCCTCCCTGGTGCGTGAGCCTCCCCCAGGCCAGGATGGCTTGAGTCTGTTGGCCACTCCTGCCTCCCCACACCCCACCTGAGAGCTTTGGCAGCCTATTGGAGGCCCGGCCAGCTGGGTGCAGAGGCTGCTGCACTGCCCAGGCTGGAAGGTATGGCCATAGCCCCACCTGCATCTCTGTGCCCTGGAGGACACGTAGGTCAGCTCACCTCACACCTTTTGCTGCGGGGCCCATCCTTGTTCGGTGGCTTACAGGAGCCCCAGCTGATAACTCGTGGTGGGGTGTTCTCCTGCCCTCCGCTGAGTGTGTCCCTCAGGCCCAGCTGGTAGACACCATGGGAGCCCCTGGGCTGGCCTTGCCCGAAGCCTGGTGGGGAAACAAACACCAGTTCCCAGGCACCTGCTACGAAGGCTGCTGCCGTCAGTGCTGAAAGCGGCCCTGCCCTGTGGTGTTCATGTTCTCGTCCTCGTTCTCATTCTCTGGGCGGACAGCAGCCAACCGTGAGACCAAGGCTCTGGGTTCCAAGATGGGTTGGTTCATGTTTTAGCAACCATGGTGTTGGGATAAGGCACATCCCAGAGTTTCATTGTAGCATTTTCGTTTTCTTAGTGGTGCGTCATGATGTCTGTGGCTTCTAGAGGCAGTGAAATAAAGCATATTATTTCAGATGGTGATAGAAGAGGTTGGAGGCTATCAGTGGGGTGGTCACGGACAGCCTCTCAACTTTGAGTAGAAGGATGAGGAGTGAGCCTGGTTCCCCAGGGAGGGTACCTGAGAGCCCTGGGTGCCAGCAAGGTACTCAGCAAAGGCCCCCATCTCACTTGTGTTTTACTAGGGAAAGACGGTACCCAGGCTGCAGGGAGAGGGCCCATCAGATTCCGGGCATGGACTGTGCTGGGCTGGATGCAGCGATAGTGAGCCTGGGCCTGAGCACCTGGGGGTCGGAAGAACTCACGTTGCAACATGGACCCCTGGGGAGCCAGAGCTCTGAGGTGATCACGGGGGCCTGTTGTGCACATAGCTGGACGTCAAAAGCTGGAGTTCCAGAGAGAAGGGTGAAGGCCGGGGTCTCCTATCCTGGGTGCCAGGAATTCTGCCCGAGGTACAGGACTGGCACTTCTGTGTTTGGAGGCTGTGGAAAGAAACATGAACACAGGAGCTAAAGAGCCGGCGACCAGAGCCTGTGGAGCAGACTGGGGCCCCAGGCTTGGAGGGCAGGGGTCCAGGTGGACTGAGACTGCAGAAGCACTGCTAAGTCTGACCCATGAGGCTCTTGGTGACCTTCAGGAGGGCATGGGTGGACGAGTGAGGCTGCAGGGGAGGCCACCCGACGAGTGCCAGAGTGCCCCAATCTGCTGGCAGGGAGCTGAGGGGGCAGAGGGCCAGGGAGGGCTGTTTGGGTCTATTTTAATTTTTTTATTGCAATGAAATATACAAAACATAAAATTTGCACGATAAACACATCTCAGCTCGGTGGCATTAAGTGCATTAAGCGCTCTGTGCACCTGTTGTCCCATCCACCTCCAGAGCCTTTTCATCCTTCCAAACCAAAATTGTCCCCACCGAACAACTCCTGCCCACCCCTCAGCCCCTGGTGCCCACCATCCTTTCCACCCTGGCTTTACAGAACCATAACAGCTTGTGCTTCTGTGTGACTGCTCTTTTCACTCGGCATCTTGCCCTCAAGGTTCATCTGTGTGACAGAATTTCCTTTTTTTTTTGTAGAGTATTCCATCATATGTGTGGGCTCTATTTTGTTTACCCACTGGTGGCACCTGGCTGCTTGCATCCTCTGGCTCTCGTGAACACGCGACTGTGAGCAGGGGTGTGTGTTTTAGAACGGGAGCAATTGCAGTGCTCTTGCTGGATGCCGGAGGGGCCTGGGGACAACCCCAGCACCAGGCGGGGACAGGCAGACATGCCGGGGAGCCTGTGCCACTCTCGATGGCTGCTCTGGGCTAGGAAGGAGGGCACAGGATGGGAGATGTGGGGGACACGGAGCGGAGAACTGCAGGCCAGCAAAGAGGTGCCCCAAAGCCCAAGGGCACGTGGCCGCCTGCCAGGCCTCCACCTGGCGACCTGGGAAGACTGCTGAATGGCTGGGCTGAGGCCTTTTCCCCCGACGCTAAGCCAGCCTTGAGTAATGGAGCGGAGGCTCCAGCTCCAGCCAGTCTGGGCCCATGGTCTTCAGATCTGTGTGAAGGGTGCCTGAATCATCTCTCCAGCTTCCCTCCTCACTGACCCAGGGGCCAGGTATCATCTGAACCTCCTCATCTGAACCCCTGGCGGGCTTGTACCTTCCCCTCCCCTAATTTCCCTTTAGAACCCACGGATATCATACTGCAGTGCCTTCCGGCATGTGGGGGGCGGGCCGGAGCTCCACCTGAACCCAGGCCCGGGACACTGTCCTCGGCCTGATGCCCTGCCCTGGATGCCACTGGACGACAGGGACAGAGTCCTCGGGGCCCAGGCTCCCCACGTCCCTGGAGCTTCTCCCCTGTCCCAACCACGCCCCACAGGCTCAGGGTCCGGGGTCCACTGAACCAGGCGCAGAAGGGGCCGCCCACACACTCCCTCTAGAAGACGAGGCTTCGCAGAGACCTGCGTTGGGATGTCAGCCGTCTCCCTGGGGTCTGCCCCTTTCCCTAGACTGCCAGCTGGGCAGAGATAAGGCCTGGGAGTTCAAAGGCCAGAGCGGGAGGCAGCAGGGAGGGGCAGGGCCCAGCCCTAGAGCTCAGAGCCTGGCTGGCCCCACTCCTGTCCTTGGAGCCCAGGGGCCACTCACCTGGCACCAGCTGGTGGGCCGGGAGGTGCACGCAGACAGCCCAGGCTCCAGGTGGAGGGCTTTGGCCATTTCCCAGGGAATCTCCCCTGGAGGGTTTGCAGGGGGAGCCTGGCCAGCACCTAACCGAGATTGCCTCGGATTCCAGTGCATTCCAACATGGACCACAGCCCAGGAGGGGAGGGCCCCACCCCCAAGGAGGGCCTTGAGGCTCTGGGAGTGTTTAAGCTGCTGGAGCCAGGAGGCCCTGCAGGGAAGGCTGCTGGCGGGAGTGGAGTTGGGGCCTTGTGGTGGTTTCCACAAATCTCCACCCCAGGCCCCCCTGGCTTGGGGGCAGCCCCTGGAGAGAGGGCCATGGGGAGCAGCACCCAGATGAACTGAGTCTCCCTCAAATCGAGTTCCTCTGCCAAGTTTATGCTGAGCCTCTCCATCCTCAACATTATTCCTTGTCTTGTCCCATACCTGTGCTCCTCAAGACAGAGGAGTGTCAGAGAAAGGAGGGGACTGAAACTGAGCAGGACCCCCTGGGGCCCTCCTGAGTACAAATCCTTTCCAGTCCCTGCATTTGTTTGTAGTAAATAGGCTTTATTCAGCCTCTTAAGAACTTCTGTGACTTCTAAGGGCAGATTCAAACAGTTGCTAATCAGGAAAGTAAGGAATGCAGAAACCAAAGGAGGAGCGTTCAAGAAGCGCAGCCTTAGGGCAGGGTCCCCCGTTCCAGGAACTGAGGCCCCCATCCAGGTGGAGGATGGTACCTTTAGGCTGAGCACAAAGTCCTCGAGCCCTGCCCTGTTGACTCCCATTTACCCACCCTGCAGCCCTCACCCAAATTCTGCCTATTAAAAACTCCCCCAAAACCGCCGGGAGGGGACTTCAGCGTTTTTGAGCACTAGCCGCCTGTTCTCCTTTGCTCGGCCCTGCAATGTTTCGGTCTCTTTGGCCTCATGGTGCATCAGACACACAAACTCCTGTCCAGTAACAAGACCCTTGGGGGAGCAGAGGGGCGGCCCTGTCCCACAGTCCTGGAGGGCCGCCCCATCCAGAAGGGGCCCAGCTATCGCCCCCCAGGACAGCAGCTCCACACTCTAGGGAGGACCTGCCGCTGGAATGGTTAACCCACAACGACTCTGGCAGCCAATCACAGAGCCCTGCGGGAAATGCCTGCGGAGATCCTCGTGCCGGGGCCGGGCGGGTCCCAGCCCAGCCCAGCCCCAGTCCGGCACCAGGCAGCCCTGGTGCACACAGCCACCCCAAAGCAGGAGGACTCAGGGGCTGCAGCATGGCTGTCTGGGCCCGGCTGGAGCTGGGGCTGCTGCTGGCAGTGCTGGTGGTGTCCGTGACGGCAGTCCAGCCCGCCCGTCTGCTGACCTTGCTGTCCTCAGGCCAGGGTGCTCTGGACCGTGTGGCACTGGGCAGCCTGTTAAATACACTGGCGGCCCGTGTGCACTGCACCGACGGGCCGTGTGGAAAGGTAATGGCCCCACCCGATGGGTCCCCCAGCCCCAGCCCGCCGCTCCACCCCGAGGACTGGCAGCAAAGGGCCCTGGGCAAACTCCAGGAGGCGGGCCGAGCATGGTGGCCCAGCACCCTGGCCCTGCCTGCAGGCTGGAGCCCAGCCTCCTCCGCTCCATGTTCAGACCCACCTGTTCTCCCTGGGTTGGGGGGTGAGACTGGGGACACACGGCTCCAGGATCCCAGGGCTGCGTCCCCCATCCCCACGCCGTCAGTCCCCTGGCTATCAAATTGGCAGAGTCTCCAGGAAGAAACCACCCTGGGATGGTGGGACCCCTGCCCCAGACCCCTCCGCGTGTGCACTCCTGACCCTAGGTGGGGACTGGCGAGGGGAACAAGAGAGCAGATGATGGGGAGGTGCGAGTGTGCGAGATGGAAGGGATGGCGGTCCACGTGTGGGGCCCCTCAGGGAAGGGGGCAGCTCCAGGGCTACAGATGCCTGGCCCCTGCCCACCTGTCTCTGCCCACAGTGCCTATCTGTGGACGATGCCCTGGCCCTGGGCAGCCCTGAGAAGTCAGGGGCCCCCTCAGGTCCAGTCCTGGAACCCAGGCACATCCCCCGCCTCAGTGCCGCCGCAGCCCTCTACCTCAGCAGCCCAGAGGCCACATGTACTGATGTCCGGGCTGGCCTCTGGGCCTCCCGCGCCGACCGTCTCCTGGCCCTGCTCGAGGGCCCTGAGGCCTTGACCCCAGGCCTGACCAGGCTGCTACAGAGGATTCAGGCCCCGGCTCAGGCTGCTGACCAGTCCACTTCAGAGGTAAAGACACAATATGGATCAGAGGGGATCAGGACCCCTGGGGGATGGGCCTCAATGCCTTCCAGGGCCCCTAAGGGAGTTTGGAGACACACTCAGCAGGCTGGGCTGGGGGATCACAAATGGACGCTCACCACCAAGGAGGGCAGGGCTGCAGGGGCCCCAGGAGCGACCCTCAGCATGGGTGGGGCTGAGAAGGCTTCTGGGGCGATAGGAAGGAGACCAGGGGGCAAGGAGGGCTGGGCCAGCTGGGCCAGGGAGGGGCAGGGCTGTGGTATCAGGGAGGAGCCCAAGGGAGGACAGGGGCCAGCCCAAGTCTTAGGTGAACAGGAAGAGGCGGGTCTGGGGTCAGGGGTGTCCTGGGGGCACTAGGGCAACAGCAGAGCAAGAGGCCAGGAAGCCAGCTCTGCCGGCAAAAGGCTGAGGCCGGACTCCTCCCCAGGCCTGTGTGGACCTGCCTCAGCTGCTGGCAGAGGCAGCAGGAGCAGGGGCGCCCGGCAGCCCCGGCCCAGTGCTGGCTGCCCTGCTGGACCATGTCAGGAGCGGGGCCTGCTTCCGGGCCCTGCCGACCCCCCAGTACTTCGTGGACTTCGTGTTCCGGCAGCATGACAGCGAGACCCCCAACATCACACTGGCTGGTGAGGCCTGAGCTGGGCCACAGGGCAGAGGTGTCCAAGCCCCAGCCTCCATGTCCCTGGGGAGGTCAGGGCTGGAGCCCACACAAACTTTGTGATTCTGTCCTTCCTACCAGAGCTGGCGGCCTTGATGCAGCGCCTGGGGGTGGGTGGAGTGACCGAGACCCATGATGACCACAGTGACCACAGTCATCTGGGAGAGGAGGCTGAGCACAAGGACCCTGTGGCCCCTACCACCCCCAACAGCAGCTCCAGTGTGTGGGACACAGTGAGCAGACCATGAGCCCTAGTCCTGGGGAGAGGTGGGGTCTCCCCAGTCTGCTCAGGCCCCTGACCCCGGTCTTGTCACCTCTCCCTCCCCCCAGTTATGCCTGAGTGCTGGAGATGTGATGGCTGTGTATGGGCTGTCGGAGCAGGATGGGGTGACCCCGGAGGCCTGGGCCCAACTGAGCCCTGCCCTGCTCCAGCAGCAACTGAGTGGGGCCTGCAGCCCCCAGTCAGGGCACCCCACCCAGGATCAGCTCAGCCAGGTGGAAAGTGAGTGCCCACCTCCCCCGCTGTGCCCATCTGGCTGTGCCCAGGGCGCTGGCATCATGGAGGTGGGACTGCAAGGGGGGAAGGGAGTGGTCGCTGGGCTGGGGAGGGGTGGGGAGAGCTGGGCCAGGGCTGGCAGGAGAAAGAGGCATTGGAGGAGAGGGGTCACAGGGCATATGGGGGCCCGGGAGGGAAGAGGATGGGGTTTTGAGGCCAGAGGGCTAGTATGAGAGAGGCCTGGCCTGCACCTGACCACCTGCAGCCCTGGTGGACTCCAGCTCACTCCTGGACCCCACCCGGACACCCTTCCCTGGGAAGCAGGGGGTCAGGGGCTGAGGTTGGAAGGAGGCTCCCACCTCAGCCCTCATTGCCCCCACCCGCAGGGTACCTGTATGGCTCACTGGCTACACTGCTCATCTGCCTCTGTTCCATTTTCGGGCTCTTGCTCCTCACCTGTGCCAGCTGCAGCACTGCCACCCACTACATCATCCAGACCTTCCTGAGCATGGCTGTAGGCGCTCTCACAGGCGATGCCCTTCTGCACTTGATGCCTAAGGTTGGCCACAGCCTGCCAGGACCCTCCTTCCCCACCAAGGACTCCTCTACCCAGCCTTCCCTCCAGGCCCACCCTCTTAGGGCCCTTCCCTGACCCCTAACCCCTCTCCTTGTCTGTGGGGAGGAGGCCCTGAGGCAACTGGCCCTGTACCCCTTCCCCCCAGGTGCTGGGGCTGCACTCGCATGATGCGGAGGGCCTCAGCCAGCAGCCTTCCTGGCGCCTCCTGGCTGTGCTGGGTGGCCTCTATGCCTTCTTCCTGTTCGAGAGCCTCTTCAACCTCTTGCTACCCCTGGACCCTGAGGTCAGGTGCATGGGGGCTGGATGCAGGGAGGGGAGAGGTGAGGGAGGTGTGGTGGACTCTGAACCACTGTCCCCTCAGGACCCGAAGGACAGGCCCTGCAGCCATGGCCACAGCCACGGCGGCCACAGCCACGGCGTGTCCCTGCAGCTAGCGCCCAGTGAGCTCCGGCCGCCCAAGCAGCCCCACGAGGGCTCGCGTACAGACTTGGTGAGCTGTCCTTGCGCACACATCCCTACCGGACGTGGCACGGAGCCCTGTCCACACTCCCAGCCCCCACGCCAAGACTTCTGCCTCTGGCCTGATCTGAGGACTAGCCCCAGGCGCCCCTCCTCCATCTGCTGGCCCAGAGGCTCATCTACGTGGACCCTGTTCCCCTTTCCCAGGTGGAGGAGGAGAGCCCAGAGCTGCTGAGCCCAGAGCCCAGGAAACTGCGCCCAGGTGAGCCCTGAGGGAGGCCCGGGAAGCTTTGGGGGGTTCAGGCGTTTGGCGCACAGCGCAGGTGCTGGCCGGGGGCGGGGCTCGGGGGCTCGGAGGTGTGGGACCAGGACGGCGTCCGCCCATCCCCGCTCTGCCCGCAGAGCTGAGACTGCTGCCCTACGTGATCACGCTGGGAGACGCCGTGCACAACTTCGCGGATGGTCTGGCCGTGGGCGCCGCTTTCCTGTCCTCCTGGAAGACGGGGCTGGCCACCTCGCTGGCCGTGTTCTGCCACGAGGTGCCCCACGAGCTGGGTCAGCTGTGCGGGGTTCGGGTAGGGGGCGGGCCTGGTGGGCGGAGCCTGCTCGGAGGGGGCGGGACTGTCTGGGCAGGGGGCGGGGTTTGCCTGGGGGCGGTTGGTTGATTGGCCGGTCAGCTGGGCCGGACTACAGGAGCCGGGCCTGTCTGGGGTTGGGCCGGGCTCTCGTCCTGACCCGCCCCACCCGCCCCAGGGGACTTCGCGGCCCTGCTGCACGCCGGGCTTTCGGTACGCCGGGCACTGCTGCTAAACTTGGCTTCGGGGCTCACGGCCTTCCTCGGCCTCTACGTGGCGCTCGCGGTCCGCGTCGGCGAGGACAGCGAGACCTGGATCCTGGCGGTAGCCACCGGCCTCTTCCTCTACGTGGCGCTCTGCGACATGGTCAGAGAGGAGGGCGGGAGGGGACTGCCCTGGGCGCTTCTGCCCTGAGCAGGAGCGCTGAGTTGGCCTCTGACCCAGGGCCCACCTCCTCCTCAGCTCCCGGCCATGCTGAACGTGCGAGACCAGCGACCCTGGCTCCTCTTCCTGCTGCACAACGTGGGCCTGCTGGGCGGCTGGACCGTCCTGCTGCTGCTCTCTCTGTATGAGGATAACATCACCCTCTGACACCTCTGCCCCGCTTTTGGCCCTTGACTCTGGCCCCTGGCCCTGGATTATCTCAGACTCTTAGAAGTGGCAGCCACACCCAACGTGTAGCCACTCCTGTGGCCAGCCAGGTACCCCGATAACCCCAAGCCTTTGAGAGTCTCCCTCCCCCAGGCCACAGTGCCCAGCTTCAATAAAGACATTCTTGTTCTTGGAGTGTAGCCTGCTCTCCTTGCTCAGAGGGAAAGGTCTCCCACCTTTCTTGGCTCCCTCTCTCCCCAGAGCGGTGCCTGTTGCCTGAAGAAGAGCCAGGATAACTGCTCAGGGACCTCCAGGCAGCCAGCCCTAGTGCCCCTAGTCTGTAATGTGGAGACCCTGCCTGGGGAGCAAAGTTAGAGAAATTGGCCGGCTTCTGTGGGCAGCAGGTAGTACCTGGTGTCCAGTCAGGAATCAAACTTGTTTACGTATAGCAGGAAAAACCACAAAACAACCAGCCATCCTTACGCTGATGAGGGCTTTTTTCTCTCTCATGAAAAACGGGCCTGGAGATAATCAGACCGGAGTGTGTGGCAGCCCATGGTCAGTAGGGCCCAGGCCTCTACTGGCTCTGCTCCACTGTCCTCAGTGGAAGTGTCCATTTCAGAGTTCCCTTGGGATAGTTTCCTAGGGAACTCTTCCTCTAGGAGAGGACTCGCACAGCCCACCACAAACTGGGTGCCTTAAGACAATAGAAGTTAATTCTCTCCCAGTCTGGAGGCAGAAGCCTGAAATCAATGTGTCAGCAGGCTATGCTCACTCTGAAGCCTCCAGGGGAGAATCTGTTACATGATCTTTTCCTGGCTTCTGGTGGCCTCGGGTGTCCTCGGCTTGTTGTGGCAACATAACCCCATTCTCTGCCTCGGTCTTCACATGACCCTCTTGTGTCTGTCTCTTCTCTTCTCAAAAGAACACCAGGACATCATGTTAGATTCCTGGCTCACCTTACTCCAGCGTGACTTCATCTTAACTAATTCCATCTGTAATGATCCTATTTTTCAGTTACAGTTACATTTTGAGGTACTGTGGGTTAGGTTTTCAATATATCTTTTTGAAGGATACAGTTCAATCCATAACAGCTCTCATGGGCATTAGCTATCACAGGCGCCCTCCAGGTAGCAGAAAGGAGCTAAGAGGAAAGAGCAAAAGCAGTAAGGGCCCAGGGGATGTGAGATTCAGCCTTTTGTTCACCCAATAGCACTGGCACAAGAGCAGGAGAGTGGCAGGCAGACTTACACTCCATTAGGTCCACTTGGGCTGAAAGCAGGTAGCTGCCACCTGCCAGGAATCTGAGGCAAATGGGCAGGAAGGACCATGTCTGAGAGCTCCCTGGCCTGACACAGGTGGCCAGCTGCCCTAGCCTCTCCACGAGATGCTGATTCTTCTAGAATCTTCACCAACCCTGTAAGAAGAGTCTGGGAATTACCACCTCCCTTGTAAAACCAGCCCACAACACTGGACACGCAGAGATGGCCTGGCGTGAAGGAAGATGCAGAAAACCACCAGCTCCCAGTACAGTGCTGCCCCAGGGACATATTGGGGGTGTAGCCTGGACTGTAGTGGGGACCCAAGCTGCAGGGGCCGAGGGAGAACTCCACTGTCTTTTGGAGGACAAGGCCCTCTGAATGGTGGAGCTAAGTACCTGAAGCTGCCAGGGCTTGGACTGGCAGCCTCATCACACCCTCCCCAGCCATAGATCACCTTCCAGCCCATCACGGTCTCCTTCCAGCAACTTCAAGCCACCACTTCTGCTGACGGCCTCCTCTAGTTTCCCACTGAAGAAGCAGACCCGCCAGACAGGCCCACATCTGCCTTCCCACTGCCAGCCCTACGACCTCCCAGCCCCTCTGCCCACCTTCCCCTCTGCTCTGACTGGGACAGAGCTATATCCTGCTCGTTGTTGCTCCTCCCAGGACTGTGCTCCTTCAGCATCTCTGGCTGTCTGCACTGACCCCCTATCTCCCACAGACAAACTCTCATCCGTTTGTTAGGGCATTTGCCGTGTGCCAGGCTCGAGGCTGGGGGTCCTGTGGTGACTGACTTTTTCATCACAGGTGCCTGTGATGTGGGAGCCATGACTGTCTGTCTGTCTTGGATGTGGAAAGTCAGTGTCCAGGCCACGGCCCAGCTCTGCCCTGCTGCCTCCTCCAGCAGGTCCTCACGGTGGTTCTGACTACAGTTAGTTTTTGTTTTGATTTTTAAAGGGGCTTCATGTAGTTCACGGGTCACACACCTGTCTGGGCATCCAAGTGACCCTTGGCCTGCCCATCAAGTGTCCAGACTGGAGGTCTTGTTGCTGACATGAGCAAGTGGGCAGAATTAGGATGTGACATAAACACATATTTCTATGCCATTTTCTTGGGTGTGACTATACCTTTTTATTTGTTTTATTTCTTAAGATTCTGTTTCTAAATCCCAGACCTGTCTGAGGGTATTTAGGGTGAATCCCTGCCAAGTGAGGAGAGGTCTGCTGAGCTGGGCGTGGTCCTGGCTCCAGGGTCCTCTAAGTGGGCAGCTGTGCCAGGTCTGGAGAGGGATCAGTGGGGAAGACGTGAAAAGCGCTGGGAGAGGGGCCAGCCGCACCACCGGCAAATACGTGGCGGCCAGTGCCAGGCAGGGCCGCGGGTAGTCAACGCGTGTTTTGGTGGTGGTAGGGGAACCGTTTTGTGGAGGGAACACAGCGGAGACGGGACGTGGCACCTCTCCAGGAAGCTCTCCCCAGCTCTGGATTAGTCGGGCCTCCGGCACTTGCTGGAGCATAATTTGTCGCGTGTTTGTGTCCGGGGGTCTCCTCGCTCCCGGCTCCGTCCTGCGTGGCTCTCCTGGCTGAGCCGGGCGCCGGCACCTGGCGGGACGCCTCGCACACGTGAACGTGGTGCGGGAAAGACCTCGCCTCTTCCTGCGGGCGAGACCCTCCACGGGGAATCCATCGTGGGGTCCCGGGGTGGGAAGGACCCCGGCCCGCCGGCCCTGAGCCGCCTCACTCCGTCCGGCTCCCAGCTCGCTTCGGCGTTCCCCCGCGGTGGGGCCCTGGATTTCTAGCGAGCTCGGGATCGCGGGGCTCTGGGAGCGGAGCCGCGAGGCC